CTGTTCCAAAGTAGGTGCTAGTTGAAAGTTTTAGAAGGTGAAACATCATAGTGGAGGGTCATAGAATTGAGAAACGGCAGTGAGTGCTTCCACTTGCACAGTTATCTTGGTTAACTCAAGGATATCCCCATAGCATCGAACAAAAATCTTCATAGCTTTCTATGTTAGTTTTCCCCTAATTAGTTTAATCTTCTTCAAATCAGAGACCATGACGCTAACTCGAATGGTTTGTTTCTTATTGGTATTTATCTTCAGGATACTCACCAAAAACCTTTGATTATTTTTTTTAGGGAATCATGTGAATAAGACAACACAAATGAAAAAATAATGAATATTTTAAAATGCAAGATGTATGTATGCATGGGGATGTAATATTGTGGTGGGATTATGAAAAATATCCTTAGTAGGTAGTTTCCTAGTTTTGTCCAATGGATATTCTATCCTCCCCAAAAGGGTGGCTTCCCTTAGGGCCTCCCTTAGATGGAGCCTCCCTTAGGTGGATCCTCTTTGTAGACCGAGAATTTCGTCTCTTAGATCATTCAAGGTCTCACCATGAGATATTGTTTTAGGGTTACACAAAGAGCCATTGGCCAAATTCCGAAATCTTATCTCCAAGAGAGTCTAGCCCTCTAAAAGATATTCCTTGGAACTCAACCGACTCTAGGAGAAGTTGTCGCAAAAAATCATAGGGGTGTTAAACCCCCTTGGCCAATTGACAATCCTTCTTTTAAGGTTTGATATTCTTTTGAAATTTAAATCCCACCAACAATAACATGATAAAAATATGATAATGCGATAAATAAAAAATAAACGATAAACCAAATAGATAAACATGGAAACAAAACATACCATAAATGGAAATAACCCACAAAACCCTAGACCTAAAAGGAATAACTTTAACCCTAGGGTAGTCTCCCCAGCAGAGTCGTCAGTTGTCATAACCGGTAAAAAATAAAGAGTCACCACCGTTAATTTTTATCCTAAGGATGGGAAAATAACGGATAACCATAATTGTTAGAGATTCTAAGTTCGTGAGTTGGTTAGACAAAGGGAAGGTGTTAGGCACCCTTCATCTCCCTTGTTCTCAAGGGGCTCCTTTTCTAGTTCAAGGGTAGATCGGGAAATTTCTACTTAAAAGTTATTACTTCCATGAATTTGAGAAAAGAATTTAGTTTTCTAGTTATGAACTCGCCTTGGTTTTAACTGCGCACCTACGTATCTCCTTTCAAAGAATCAGAGTCCAAATTCGTAGTTCGTATGTGTTTGGTTAGTTTTTTTATGGATTGTGAAAATATTTTAGAATTATCCTTAAACCTTGTCTGGGTTTGAAAATAGCGTAGTTATAGACGCAGTTCACAGTTTAATAGAAAATATATCCACAATCCTTTTTGAAAATAAAGTTGAATTTGAAATTAAGTTAGTAAAAAAGATGTTAAATTTGATGGGTTAGCTGTCTTAGAGTGCATGGTAAAGTTTGAAAAAAAATAATGTTTGGATGATGAAAAATATTTGATGAGTTTATGGAAGATTTGTTAGTTTGTGTTTACATAGAAAAAGAAAGGGTGTGCATAGCAACAGGCCTGACCCAAATGTCCTTTGAGTCTGTTTGGCTAAACATGAGAACGTCTAAGGACTTATGGTATGTTAAACGTTTATGGATCGTTTGGTCCAGATCATGTGGCCATTCAAGAGTAAATCTTGAGCCTTTGATCAAAAGGCATGATGAACCAAAGGCTCTGATCGTGCGTTGACTGAGGGAGTACCATATGATACGCATACAGAGAGACTAGGAGGCTATGTATTCGTTTCCTCTCTATTTTTCTCATTTTTCGCTTCTCTCTCTCTCTCTCTCTCTCTCTCTCTCTCTCTCTCTCTCTCTCTCTCTCTCTCTCTCTCTCTCTCTCTCTCTATCTATCTATCTATCTATCTATCTATCTATCTATCTATCTATCTATCTCTCTATCTATCTATCTATCTATCCCAAACCACAACAAAACCCTGTTATATTTCTATAGAGAGAGGCTCTGGCTTCTCTCTAAAAAACAACCGTACCGGAAGTCGCCCTGCCCAGAGTGCCACTGGCCTGAAATCGCTTCTGCGGGCGGCTGCTTCTGGGAACCACCACCTTCATTCATAACAAATCAAGAAACTCATACGTTCATCCGACCTTCATCCCAAAACACATAAAACAACATACCTTCAACCCAACCACCATGGGTGGCCATGAAGGCCACCGTCTCAGGTGTGAGTCCGCCAGGGACTCCACCTATTTCTAGAAAAACGCTATGAACCCTTTGAATTTAAACCCTAACCCTAGGGTTCTTGCATGAACCCTTACAACAAACCCATCTCAGAAACGAAATTAAAGAGCCCTAACCCTATAACGTTAGAACCCTAACCCTAAGAACATGAACCTTAACCCTAAGATTTTCTCATAAACCCCCCAATCATGCATCAAACAACAACAGTAACATTAAAATCAAGACCCTAAGCTAAGTGGATTAGAGTTATCATTCGTGCAGTGATACTTCTTGTATAAATTCCTTTATGATATTTTTGGTTCCTCTTCTATAATCCTTTCTCTTCTTCTTCTTTGCAGGTACCAACAATGGGGCTTAGCTCAAAGAAATTAGGGTTCCAATGGTGAATCCTAATTCTCTTATCTGAACTAATAGCTTTAGTGATTGCCTAGGTATTTTGCAGCAGCGCACAAGAGTTCTCCAAGGGTTTTTTTTTGTCGTCCCTAATTATGCTTAGAACTTAGGCTTAAATAGTTTTTAGAAATAGTTAGAGTTAGGAAATATTGTTGGTGATTTGCATTTATAGGTTAGATTGATTGGTAATTGATTGTAATTTGCAGATTTGATTAGATTTTATTGTAAATTATGAATTAGGGTTTCTGGATTGTAATGTATTTGGACGTTTGTATGTAATGATTCTTTGTATCAATTAAAAAAATCAATCCAATATTTGATTCAGTTTCAAATTTGATTAAAAAGATATTTGAATTTTATACTTTTAGTATCTTGGGGACGAAGGGTCCAAAACATGGCGCAACAAAGCAAATGGTTTAGAAACCCTAAAGTTGACTTAGTCAACTTCTTCAATTACTAATAATAAAATGAATAATAATAGTAATAATAATAAAATATTTCAGTAAACATCATTAATCAAATAATAATAATGCAATAATAATTTAATAATAATGGATAATACTAACAATGATAAGAATAAAATAAAACAAAATAATTGGAAAGGTTGACTTCGGTAAACTCTAAATAAATGTAGAAATTAAAACTAATTAACTTAATTTAATTGACATGGGCCTCTCAAATAGACTAATTAATCAATAAATGATGAACCCCTCAAATAAATCGTGACACACTGTTCCCCACAATTAAATCTTAATACAAAATTTAGAATAAACAACTAATACAATGTAAATTTAAGTTAATTATAATTTTAAACAAAAATGTAATAACACCAAATTTTAAAAGAAAATATTATCAACTAAAATAAGTTGGTCATTAACACCAGAAGGGCAAATTTAGGGTATGACAATTGCCCCTATTTAATTGTTCTTCGATTGAGGGTGCGAGAATACGAAGGTCTCGCACATTCGGATCGAATGGTTATTAAATAATGGAAGACCCCAATATTTGACCAAAAGATTTTGAAGAAAGTAAAAAGTGTAAGATAAACCAAAAGATAAACAAGCAAGGATGACACAGTTAACTCACCAATGTCTAGAGCAAGACCATAAATGGCCTAAATCTGATGGCACGGATAACTCGTCAACACCCAGAAAGTAATAGTAGATTTCGTGTATTTACCATAACCTAGGAGGCAAATAACGCGAGCTTTAAAATATATAACTTATTGCTGCTTCGAGACTATCGCGGTGCAAAAATACTTAAGCGCAAAAACGCTTGAAAACAATGAAGTCATCGCCAAAGTTTATTTTTAAAAGAGAAAATATTGATAAACCCCTAAAACAACAAAAATATGGCCACCGTATCCAAATTTAGATTCATGGGTCGATTATGCATAAGGAAAGTATTAGCACCCTACGACAACCGTTTTAAATAACTTTTATCTCTAATTAATTTTGTGAAAGATAGTGTTAAGTCTAATATATTTAATTACTCCTAATTATTACGACATATTAACAAGGGAAAAAAATTTTTATTAAGGTTGTGCTTGTCAAGATTTGATTCTTGCTACTACTTATCTCTCGATGCGATGAAGAATTCAAAGCTACGTAGGTCTTGGATAAAAAAATCTTGTGCATTTGTTGATTTTAAGGGAAAACATGTTTAATCACGCCAAGGCGGAAGGAAAGTTGCTTGTTGGTTGTAATTGGTTTCAGAAGGAAGACGAGTGTTTGAACGAGCAAGCCGTGCAAGTTGTGTTCGCGTACTCGAGGATAAAAGAGATTTACATCCAATTAGTTCTTTTTAATCCATTTTTTGGTTTTTCTATAAAAAAAAAAGATTCATATCGAATTGAACTGCGTTCTCTTAAAGCAAGGCAAGCGTTTGAAGAATCAAGTTGTACAACTTGTGTCCAAACACTCAAGGATTAAAGGAATGTATATTCAATTAATCATTTTTAATCTGATAAAAGAATGGACTTGAAATGAAAGTTACTATTTAATTTTTTAAGAGGAAGGCGAACGTTCAAACAAGTAAGTTGTATAACTTGTGTTCGAACACCTGATAATAAAAAGGATCTACATCTAATTAATCCTTTTTAGATCCAATTTTGAGTTATCAAAAAGATTTAAAACGTCTTTGTCAAAAAAAGATTTAAAGCAATTGAACTATTAATTAAAAAAAAAATAAAAGAAGACAAGTGTTCGAACAAATAAGTTATACGACTTGTATCTTATCACTTGAGTATCTTATGATTTTTTTTAATCAAATATTTTTAAAGTGTAACAATTGATAGTGAACAAATTAAAATGCTAGATAGTCTTTTTGCAGGTTATATACATTTGATCACCTTTGGTTCCTAGTTAAAAAATACACTTGTATACAAGGAGAATTATTCCATGAAGTGGAGTGTAACCTAAGTATGTCTCTTGCTTTCTCTTTCAAATAAGAAGCACAATCTGCCTGCATTACCATGCAAAGCTTTGAAACCGCTCCAACCCTCAACATCTCTAAAATATCTTTAGAAGATGCATACTTCGCAATCACTGAAATTACTTGAATCGCTAGGTCATCGGTTGCTGCGGAAACCCTCAAAATCCTTTTAGTAAGCATCGCTATACCCGCCGCATGCCTCAAAAATTGTTCTCTTCCTTCCGCGCTTAAACACAAATGTGCCAAAAGGTTGAATATAAGCTCGGTCACACTCTTCTTCGGGTTTTCAAGCTCGATTTCAATGAGTTCACTTACTCCACCAGCTTCCACAATCCTCGTTCGGTTTTTACCTAACGAGGATGTGCTAATAAGAACATGTAACGCTGATTTAATCGTTTGTTTAGAGAATAACCCCCGCTTTTGAAGTACTCTCACAATTTGTCTAAAGAATTCAATGTTTAAATTACCTATAAGAGATGAATCTACAATGTCAATTGTCAACTTCATTAATGTCATAACTTCATTTACCATTTTCACATCGTTGTTATCAATGTAAATTTTCAAAATCCAAGCCAAAGAGTTGATGAACTCCATGTTTCCTCCAACCAAAGGCTTGATCATGTTCTTAACCATCGCTTCATGCCACAAAAGACTAATAGTTTTCAAACCTTCTTCTAAACAAATAGTGTTACCTTGTTTGAAACTCTTCCTAATCACCATAACCATAGCCTTGGTTACACCTACTTCAACCATGCACGTTCTATTTCTCTCACTTTGTTTAGCAAGATCATGAATCTTCTCCATTGTGGTCCGAAAGCAACTAGGAACCTCAAGATTCTTAACAAGCTTCTGAAGATGGATTCTATCGAGAGAATATTTCGGAGATGGAACTTGATCATCAACATCTTTGGCTTCATTTGACGAAATCCATGCTTTGATTAGCCTTTGAAGTGTATGATTTGGAGTCAAAAACTCTTTGCTTCTAGGTAGTGCTTGGTTTGTTACAGGACAAACACAAATCTTGGCCGTAAGTAACCATTTTTCTATGCTTTGTCTGTCGTATGTTATGCCTGTTACTGTTGTTACAGGATCTTTCATGATTTGAAATGAAATTGGACATAGAAAATATGGAGGAATTTCAATTTCATCCATGTTCTTTAATTTGAAATTATACTATGGTTTTTCAAATTTGAGATGGAGATGGTGTTTGATAAAGAGAAAGAAGAAGAAGAAAATGAATTATTCTTGTTTTGGTAACAGAATGAGGCTTTGTGAATATTAAGATATTAAGAGATTGTATATATACATTATTAGGAAAGATTAAGAAAAAGGAGGCTTTCTAGAAAGTCACAAAGTATGTTAAAAACTTTGAACAATTTTTTTTTAAATTTTTTCGAGTAAATATGTCTAAAACACTCATTTTATTTTTCGAGTTAAATACATTTAATTATAAATCATTTTGAAAACTAATTTTATATAGAATAAATATATTAGATATTTAATAAATTTAAAAAATAATTTTTGTTTATAATATAGAAGGGATGAGATATTTGTTAAAGTAGAATTAGGGTGGGTGGTCAAAACTTGTAGTTTGTTGCAAAGACTTGGAATTAGTAACCCATAATAGTTGATTTTGACTTTAAGATGCATGAATTTTCCAAGAGTGGATCGTAGTTCCTACGTGGCCTAATTTAAGTGGCTATTGATTATTGTTGATTATTTATTCTAGTGTTTCAAAACCATTGAAGAAGTTTTTCTCAACATGGGAGCGGTGGTCAATTAGATAGCGGTGGCTAAGATCAGATATTCATTAACTTTTATAATAGCTTTTTAAGATAGATGAGCCACACAAAAAAATCTTTTAATAATTTTTTTATTAAGTAAATCACTTGGTAAAAATAATGTAACATATATAAATAATTTTTTGTTTTTTCATTTAATATTTTTTCTTCTTTTAATTTTTTTTAAAGTTTTTTTCTTCATATTATCAATAAAAATACTATTTCATAAACTTGAACATAATTTTTTTCTCATATGATAACAACTGACTATATTCTTTAATACTGTATGAAATGATTAATACTTCATATAGATTAAGACAAGAGGAGTAATTACTAACTTTGTCAATTTCAAAAAAAAAAATTTAAGTTAAACATAGTTAAAACTTTATAGAAATTGAGACAAAAGGAGTAATTACTAATTTTGTCAATTTCAAACAAAAAAAATTAAGTCAAACAAAGTTTTATAATTAACATTTCTAATTAAAATTTTAATTTAATTTATTAATCTAATTAAAAATTTGCATTGTATTGTTTTTTTTTTAATTGTTAATTTATTAATATTAATAATTTTTTATATTGTTATATTATATAATTAATATATTATATAACAAGTGTAATTTTATATAATTATTTTTTATTAATTTTTACGGTACTTCTTTTTCTTTAAATCAAATATAGATGTTTTAAATTTTGATTTTATATATTCTATATGCTATAAATGAGTATATTTAAAGTTTTTTACATAGATTTTAAGAAAAGCAACAAAAAAATATATAATACATGATATTTTTATTAAACTTATCTTATAAATTAGGTTTAGTTACAATTTTGATGTTTCAATTTTAATTTAACAGAACCAGGTCTATTCATGTTTTTTTGTGAAGACATAGTTCCTCTACTCTTGTTTTAATGATGTTAAAATATATTTTTTTATCTTTAATTTGTGTTTTTAACATTAGTTGGTTTTTTGGTGTATTTGAGTTTGGAAATGGATGGCATGAAACTCTTTAAATTAAAGTAATTTTGGCCATTTCAACTGGTTGCGTCGACTCACATTGTTGGTGAGTCGATTCATGGACTGATCAAGGACTTTGCACCTAACTCGGGAATTCTCGTGTCGACTCTTCTGGTCGACTCATACTGAGAGTGAAATTCCTCCAGGTTGCGTCGATGCGTTCCCTGGTGCGGTCGATGCATCACCTATTTTCAAATCATCTCATCAAGCTCGGGTTCGCTCAGGTCGCCCCCCCCCCCCCCCCCCAACCTGTATGAGTCGACGCATCGCTAAAATTCTTTGTTTTTCTGCTACGTTTTGGGCTTGCTGATTGTGAAACATATTAATATTAGTTTGTGGTTATCATTTGGGTTAACAAGAAAAAGTGAAAGAGATACACCAACTTCTCATCATCTTCATCCTCTCCTTGCATTCATCAATAATTACACATAACAATTTTTGTTGATTAAAGTGCAGAGCTGTGGTGATAACGTTCAAATTGAAGATTGATTTCAGATTTGAGTTGAGAGTTGTGTGGGTTTTTTCTTGAATAAAACCGTTAGGGTTTTGTCCTCCAAGATTCCTGTTGGTGCGGGGGTTTTTTCACAAGTCTTTGCTTCATTGAATTTAACCGAGTGAAAAGGTTGAGAAACAGTGGGTTTGCTCAATCAAGTAACGGTAACCGGAGGATTGTGAAGAAAGATTTGGGGTCAAACGTCTTGTGATCGAAATCAGTCGAGTGAAAGATTTGTAAAACGAAGAGTTCGTGCAATCAAGTAGCGGTAACCAGAGGTTTGTTCGAAGAGTTTGGCATACTTGGTTTGGTTTGAACCAAGGGGAGAGAAGAAATAGTTTCATCATCAACAATTGGTTTGTGTGTAGTGAAGACTACCGCTTCTCTTGTAACACTTTGCAACTTAATATCATATATCTCAATTCTAGATTTTAGAATTGGGGACAGGCGTACCCTACGCGAGGACGACAAGGGGAACTATCTTAACAAATCGTGTGTTGTTTCTCTTTCCATATATTTTTAATCGTACCTGATTAGAAGAGATCGTCAAGGCCCACGAGCTTCAAGTTGAGCAACAGTTGAATGTGAAGTGGGGGGTATCTGCAAGACACTTTGATGCCAAAGTGAGATTCAGAGCGAGAGCAAGTAAAATAAGTGAGGTATGATAAATAAATGAATAGATACCTGACTCTCTCAGGTGAGAGGGTATTTATAGCCCTCAGCGCTGGGCCAAGATCCATTTAATGGGCCAAGCGACTTAGGAAAAATAATGTAGACTACTAGGGTTTACGCGAGTAATGAGGTCTAGCACGTGGCCCCATCCCTGGTGAAGCTCCCCAGGAATGTAGGGACAGTGGACCCATTATTCTCGGAGGGAAGGTGGTGTTTGATGATGACTAAGGATAGGTTCTCTAATGGGCACGTGGGGGAAATCCCCAGCGGCTATCAGTCTTGGGCCCAAAGTTATTGGGCCACAATAAAGGAACTAGACTGGGCCTTCCCCAACAGTGGGGTAAGTGTCAATCCAGTCTAGAACATGAGCCCCCAAGTTATTTCTCTTATATGAGAGAGTGATAACTTAAGGTCTGCTGAATTTTCGGGGAAACGTTGCTAAAAAACGAGATTGTTATTTTAACTCGAGGAGACATTGCTCGAAGGAGAGAGTGTCTTTTGGGTCAGGGAAACATTGCTCGAAGAAGAGAGTGTCTTTTGGGTTGAGGAGAAGCTGCCCGAGGGAAAGGCTTTTTTTTGGATCGAGGAAATATGGTCGTTAGTTTCTTGACCTCCTCTCCCTTCTCCTTAGTTGCAAGCAACATTTGAAGGATTTTCCTAGTCTGAAATGTTGACTGCCTGCTTTTGCGCACTAGTCTCCTCGAGGTGTCCGTGGGAGGGTGCTTCGCGTCTGCGGAAAAATGCAGGAACCTCGAGCTTGTATTCTTGGGGTACCCGCGAAAGAGTGCTTCGCTTCCATGGAGAAATCACAGGAATTTATTTTTAACTCCTCTCTGTGATGCCTGTGTGAGGTGAGAGTCGCAACTATGTCGTGCGCATGCTCGTTGGTAAAGGTCTTGAGACCTTGCGTCAGCTCGTGGCTTCATGTGGGGTTATTTGAAGTTCAAACGACGCGTCCCTTTACATGTCACACATGGAGGCTGTTTAGATTGTCATCATTTCATGATGGAGCCTAAAGGCCTAAGAAATGATGACTCTTGGCACGCTACCCGTGTGGTAGGGACTAGCTATAAAAAGGGGTGAAGGAGTTCTATTGAATATTTTCACTTTCGATCTCCTCATGCACCTCCTATGTTTGCAAGCTGCTCTTGCACATTTTACAAAGTGGACAAAGGAAGAGGCCCTCGCCAAAATCATGGTAAAAATTCTACTCTATTTCTGCAAGAGAAATTTACTTACCCGGTTCAACATACCCCATACAATTGTCACCGACAACAATACACAATTCACTGAATGAAATTTCCAAGAATTCATCGTCAAAGTAGGAACTAAACAACACTTCACATCTGTCAAGCACCCACAAACGAACAGGAAGGCCGGAGCCACGAATAGGGTAATCCTACGAGGCTTAAAAGAAATATTAGATGAGACCAAAAAGAAATGGGCCGAAGAGCTACAGATCGTGCTCCGGGCTTACCAAACAAACCCTCACCCGACCACCGAGGAAACCCCTTTTTGGGTTGCCTACGAGATCAAAGCGGAAATCCCATTCAAAATCAGAGAGCCCTCCAGGCGAACTGAATCTCCCCTCGATGAGGAGATAAACAAAGAGGAACTAAGAGAGAAGCTCGACTTTGTTGAAGAAGTTTGATTAGGGGTAGCCCTCCGAGAAGACTCACTAAAATAAAATATTGCCATACGACATGATGGCAAAGTTATAAGATGATAATTCGAGGTCGGAAACCTAGTCCTAAGGAGAAATCACAAAGACTCTCGCGAAGGAAAACTCGCCGCAAACTGAGGAGTCCCCTATCGCGTCTGAGCAAAAACAGAGAATCGGGCCTACTACCTCGAAAATATACACAAGGAAGAATTCGCTCGACCATGGAACACCAAAAAACTGAAACAATATTACAGTTAGGCCCGACAGTCGGTGTGCCCTATTCAACGACGAACATGACATCTCATGGCCATGGAGGCGTGCTTGGGTACAAGAACTACATCCCAAACTTTAACAAAAAGACAAGTTTCCACTCTTTGACAAGCAGACTCTTGATCCGACGGGGAAACCTCGAACGAGCTCCACTATCATTGTACCATGCTGGCAGAACACCCAACTTGCAATGGGAAGTTCACTCCGCATAACTAAGACCCTGACCGAGATCTAAGCTTGGCTATCTTCTTGGAACCC